TTTTTTAACAGACCACACATTATCATTTCCTGTTTAAGTTAATTAGAGGCATTTCTTCCATTCTTTTGCCCTCAGACAAGAACAGGGTCACTCATCTGCTCATCCCTCCATTTACCTGGCCATTGCCTAAATCACCACCTTGTAGTTAGCCCTGGACAGCAGATTGTGAATCTGTCTTCAGTGGCCTGAAGAGGGTAGGGGCTGGAGCTGTGTGATAGCCGTCCTCCCTGGGGCTTCCCAGGGGGTCTTTACGGTTATTGGAAACCTTGCCCTGGGTCTTCTCCCTTTGCAGGAGTGGTATCCTGGGAACCCCTGTGGAGAGTAACCACCATGGGGAAGGAAGTGGCACCTGGGCTCACATCTCTGCACCAGCATTTTGGCAGAAAGGCTGGTCACATGCCGTCCATCTGCTGGGTGAACTGCACGTCCTGTCCTCTGAGCCCTTCACAAACCTAAGGCATGCCTGCAGTGTGCTCATCTCTGCCCTTGTGGCCTCTGCCAGGCTGTCCTTACCACTTGGAGCCAAGTCAGATACAAGGTGGGGTCCAAAGGGTGAGGTCACATGGTTTCTTTTGGGTCATTTTCTGTGGCCTCCAGTTCATGGTTTCTTTTTCTTCTGCTCTGCCCATGGCCCAGTCCCTGTTATGCAAGAGTTGACAGTGTTCTAAACATAATCCCCCCTTCTACTCTTCTGCCTGAGGTAGGCCAAGGGCTGATATCAGCTAGTTTGGTTCAAATTCTGTTGCCACTCATTTCATTACAGGTAAATGTTTTTTCCTATTTTGCTTTTTGTCTTTTCATTTGTCCACGTGGGGTGAAGGGTTTGCACAAAAGCTACATAGTATGCATGTTTTCTGTGCAGTAAACTGACTCACAGGCAACATCCCTTCCCACCTCCCTGCCTTTGCCCTGGCCTGTTTCACTCAGCCTCTGAGGGGGTGAGGGACTGGGAAGGACCAGCCCCTCTTTCTTCAAATGTTTCTGCCTAAAAGCAGCAGCTTGACCAGAAACTCCCTTTAGACTTTGGCTCAGGACAGCATGGGGCCCCAGTGTGTTAAAGCACAGCAGCTGCACACTCACACAGAAAGCACAGGACTGAGCAGTGTGAACATCTAGCCACCTCTCCTGAGCAAGGCAGAAGCATGTGCGGGATGGGGGACATGGCTCCAGCCACCCACCAGCCAAATAAGAAAAGGCACCAACAAGCAGGTGGAGAACATGGATAGCACTGGGTTCCAAGGACGTGTGGACGTGGCCCTGCAGCCCTCACACAGGAACCACATGTCCAGTGCTTCGGGTAAGGAAAAGGAGGTCAGGTGCTGGCAGGAGGTTGCCAGCGGTCACTGAGCGTGGAGGAAAGCCTCTCATATTCTGGCCAATGACAGTTTAACAAGGCCTTGGGCACCCACACCCGGTTTCCTTACCAGGCAGCAGGATACTAATGGTTAGGGGGGCAGTTAACCAGAGGCTGAGCTCCCTGCCAACGGACTGGAGACACAGGGTGACAGGGATGTACACGTTAGGATGGCTCAGTGAGCCATGACCTGCTGACTGGGAGGCTGTATGGGGTGTTGTGGCCTCGCCACCTCGGAGACCTAAAATAAGATGTAGTATAAATAAAAAGGAAAGTTGACCACTGACTGCCAGGACCTGAGACTCAGGATTGGCGCTTGGGCGTGGAGTCGGACCCAGAGCTGAGGAGTGTATATGAACGTGGGGGGAGGGGCCCGGGCACTGCAGGCGCTGAGGCATGTGAACTGTGGGGTCCAGGGCAAGTTGCTGAGCTCCCTCACCTCCTTGCAGACAGATGTGGGTGGGGATAAACTGCAGATGAAGCTGCTCCCTGGGGGAGCCTGCATGTCCCACCCCTCCAGTCTGCCTGCCCTGAGATACGAAAGGACCAGGGCCAGGGTAAGAGAAAAGCCAGGGCTGTAAACCTCCCTAGGAATCTACCTGAGCTCGACAGCTGCTCCCGCTGCCCCTTTAAAAGGTCAAGAACTGCCACATGGCTCTCCGCTGCCCATCCAGACACAGCTCAGCCCTCCCGCTTCCACAGGCCCTCTCCTCAGAGGCTCCTCTCTCCTGTCTTGCCCGCCCCGCTCCTGGCAGCAGGCACTGGTCTTTGGTCACTGCTCCTAGTTCACACTTTCTCCAATGTCAGTGTCTTGCTCCAGCACGTGGACCTTGACTTTACCTGTGATGACTCCACCTCTCAGCGCAACCCCTACCCAACCCCAGCTCAAACACACCTCCCCACCACACCCCAAGTTGGGGTCCCACCTCATCAGGCCCTCCAATTTGCTATCCCCCTGCACTCACTTCTCTTTACTTCCCATTGTGTCCAGATTAAAGCTGAAATCTCAGTCATTAAAACTTCTGTGCATGTGACCGAGCTGCCTGCCTCTCCCCCTTTCTTGTGCTTCTCTGGGAAAGCCCCACTCTGCATGCAGTGCCTTCGTCAAGCAGCTGGTGAACACCAACACAGGTGCATGCCCCACCGTACCCCACCTGTCGGAGCACCTAGACTCCTGCTCTAAACTGACATCCCATAGCTCGACCCTGCCCTGCCCATGTTTCTCCACTCACCTTGCTTTCCCAGGCCAAGGTGAATGACTGCTGCATACCTCTGGGAACACCCTCCACCTCCCTCCTGCTGTGGTCTCACTTCATTTCACCAACAGGAGGCCCAGACTCCACCACCCCATAAATTCAGCCTTTCTCTACACATCTCCCATCCTTTATTGGGCCCCATTATGTGGCAAGGCTGGCCCTTGCCCTCCCAGAGGTCCCATCCCTGCTCATGGACTGTGCGCCCTCAGTAAGCCCTCTCCGTCTCACCACTATCTGCCTCGGCTGTTCTCATCAACACACATGCTCCACTCCAGTGTAACATAACCCCACGGCATTCTCCAGCTACCCGTCTCCTCGGCCTGTCAGGACCAACTTCTCCCACCATCCTCCCCACAGCTCACCATGCACTCAGCAGCTTTAGCATGCCTTCCACCCCCACACCTTCCTGAAATTGCTCCCATCGAAAAGCCTCAGGCTACAGAGTCCGAGGGAATTGCACCTTCCTTTTGCTCAAACTCTCAGCACAGCGCACTTTCCCAGAGCAGCTTCCACTCCACTCCTGGGTCTCTTAAACATGCCCTACCCACCCCTACAGGCTCAGGCTGCGCATCCTTAGGGCCCGTCCTGAGCCCTCCTTTTTCTCCCTGGAGGACCTCATCCAGGCCACAAATTGCTGTACCATCTTTATGCTGATGACTCACCAATCTGTGTCAAGATGCCCAAATGACCCTGAGTCCATCCCCTGCAAAAGCTAGTCCCCCACCTAGGCTTTCCTTTCATCCACAACTTGCATAACTTAAGACCCAAACCAGAAAGTCATCATTGAATCCTCTTTCCCTCATCCCACCCGCCACGGTTCCATCAGAGGGCCTGTCAGTGAGGCCACCACCCTCTCTCAAGTGCATCCACTCCTCTGCATGCCCACTGCAGCCCTGGCCAGGCCACACCATCTCCCAGGCCAGCAGCCCAGCCACTTCCTGTCCCCCGCATCCTATTCTAGCCCACCATCCACGCTCCACACACTGGGCCCTGACCGTGCCTGTTAGGCTCTGTACTGCCTGGCTCCTGCCTGCCACTCCAGCTGCACCTCCCCTTGCTTACTATAGTCTAATTACACTGGCCTTTTCCCATTTCTAGGCTGTGCTCTGGTAAATTAAAGATGGCTAAAAATTCTTTGCTTATCCCTGTGCCTCCCAATTTAGAAATGTTGTCAAATACCCCTACCCTTGTTTTGGGATAATTTGCCAAGACTCTCCCTCCAGGCCACAACATGCGAGTCTTGGAACACCCAGACCCCTTCCCGCACGCCTCTCGGCTGCTTCCTTCTCATCCTTCAGCTTAATCCTGAGCGGGTCCTTCCAGACCACTCTGTCTGAAAGCAAAAAACATCAAGGCGGGGCCTGCTTCATTTCTTTACTTCTTTAACACTGATAAAAAAAAAATAGGTATCATAATTAAAATTATTACTTATTTCCTCTCGAAAGCAGGGACTGGCAAATGAATGCCCACAGGCCAGCCACCTCCCACCAACTTTTTTGCATAAAGTTTTATTGGGAAACAGCCACATCCATTGCCTTATGTATTGTCCACTGTTGCTTCTAACATGGCAGAGTCGAGCAGTTGCTACATGGACCATGTGGTCCACAAAGCCTAAAATATTTACCATTTGGCCCTTTAAGAAAGTTTCCCAACCCCATGGACAACAAGGCCTATGGCTCTCTCACCCCTAGATATCCAAAACCTCCAAGAGATTACCTGTTCAAAGAACTGAAGAGCCCTGAGGCGCAGCTATAAACCCTTCTTTACTGGGAGACTCTTTTTGTCAGGGAAGGGCTAGGCCAGGGCTGGGTCAGTTCCCTCCTGACATCCCGAGTCTAAGGGATCCTAAAGATGAAGGCTTCGGAGATACATCAGGACCCAGAAGCCTGGAGTCCAAGGAGACCATGCCATTCCTACGCCCCTTCTGCCCAGTGTCAGAGGAGGCCACCCTCAGGGGGATAATGCTTTAGCCAACCCCAAGGGCAAGGATGTGACCACTTTTGATGGGGAAAAGTGTCTTCTGCTTCTCTGTCCTCCCTAAGAGGCATGGGCTGGTCTAGACCCTGGAGATCAGCCATATCATCACATGGAACATGTGGGAAGAGTGTGAAGAGACCCTCCCCTGCTTTAGAGGCTCCTCTCTAGCCATGAGATGGGCATGCTGACATGCTGGCCCCACTAATACCACTTCCTGATTAAAATGGACATGGCAGGGATGCCAGCTTGTGTGTGGGCACAGATTGTGTGCTCACATGTCTGGGGGCTGCAAGCTGTGTGCGTGCAAGTGACAAGGATCAGGTGGGCTCTGAGAATTGCCAGGGACCCTGGGATGAACTGTATGTTATTGCCTCTGATGCCATGATTTGCTGGACAGACCTCTGCTCAGAACATATTGCACATATTTCTTTTAATTTATCATCATTTATCAGGCCCAGGCCCATAAAAGAAAACATCCCTTTCCTCTCCCTCCTTTTGCATTACCAAGGTCCTGATCTCAGGTTCCTTGGGTCTATGGAAGGCTGCATCTAGTGAAGTACTGAGTAAAGTGTGCAAGAGAGCCAGAGTCCATCAATCCCAAATCCTGGAGGGCTTCCAGCAGCTGCTCCCGTGCGGCTCCAATAAAGGAATTCTCCAAGAAGGCAGGCAGGCCTCCCACACCATCCCGCAGGGTATACAGGGGCACCCGCACCAGGCCCAGTACCTGTGAAAGGAAGGAAACAGGAGACACTGAGAATCCAAGTAGCTCATCCCAGCCAGATTTTTCCAGATCAGAAAACTTTTCCTTTATTGGCCCTGCAGAAATCAGGCCTGAGGGCCCATACACCTCAGTGGAGCCTAGTGGCACCAGCTCTCTGCAGATCCAAGTCCTGCTATCCAGTGCCATAAATACTAATCCTTCCTATATCACTAAACCTTTAGTAGCTCCTGCTTCCAGGGTGCATGCTTGGCTTTTTAAAGTTTGCAAAATGTGGTACCCAAGCCAGCCATATTAGCACCATTTGGGAGCTTTAGAAAAATGCAAACTCTCAGGTCCTTCCCTCCCTCCTCTACTGAACCAGCAATTCTCAAAGTGGGGACAGTAACCACTGTCTAAATAAAACGCCTCAGGTGACTCTGATGCCAAAGTTTCAAAGTCATCTCCCTACACAATCTGTCCCCCATTCCCCTAGCCTAAGTGTCAAGGTTTCCACGCATTAGGACACAACTACTCAAGAAAAAAAGGGGCCTAGGGTGTTGATGCCTGGCCCTTATCAGCAGGACAGAGATTTGGTTGGTTGTGTTCTAGAAAGACAAGCCTAGAGGACAGCACAGGTGGAGACAGAGAGAACTTTGCAGATTGCCGGGATTCCAGGCTGGCTGTAGTTAGTGATCCAGATGAAGGAAAGACCAAGATCCCAACTACACCAGGAACCTGGGGGAGAGGCTTTTGGGGCAGAGAGGGCGCCAGGGTGGGGTTCCCGGCTGGCCCCACCTCCAGCCCATGGTCTTTGGCGTGCGGTGCGCCCTTCTCCACTGCAACCAGCTGCTCCAGCGTCAGGCGCTTGGCATAAAAATGGGCGACGACGTGCGGCCCGGACCCGGTGACAGAGCTGCGGTAGTCCCCACGCTCTACGCGGAAGGCGGCAACGGCCTCACCCAATTCTTCGCGCAGCTCGCGGTTCAGCCCATCCTCCAGGCTGCCGTCCTGCACGTTCACGAAGCCGCCAGGGAAGCCCAGGCGCCCATCAAAGCGCATCTGCATCTGCGGGAGACGGATGCGGGGCTGCATGGGCGTCCGGGAAGGGGAGGGCCGGGGAGGGCCGGGGTCGCGGGGCGGCCGTCCCCTCCTCACCAGCACCGCGTAGCGCAGCGGGATGCGGCCAAAGAGCTGCCCCGGGTCCGGCGCGTAAAGCAGCGCGTGGCACGCGTGCCGCCAGCCATGCCCCAGCGCCAGGGCCTCTGCCAGCTGCAGCCTGCGGACCCCGGCCATGAACCGACACCCCGCCTCCACAGCCGCGAGGGCACGTGTGCGCCCCTGGCCCTGGTGACCGTAAACGCCCGGGGCGGGCGGGGCGGCGCTGGCGGCGGAGGCCGAGCTGCACGCTGGACTGCAGGCGAGCGGCGTGACGTCACAGCCCGGCGCCTGCGGGCCTCTTCGGGCGGAGGGGCAGCCGGCGAGCGGCGCTACGTCACAGCCCAGCGCCTGCCGGCCCTCTCGCTTGCGGGGCAGCCGGCGTGGGTGGGTCGTGTTGGGCTCGCAAAACTCTCTCCCTTTGGTCTGGGCTGGGCTGGGCTAGGTGGGAAAGGAGGGCAGCTGGCGTCAGGCGCGGCCTGTCCTAGCAGTGGGGACGGGAGGACTGACTGATGGGTGTGGTAGGCAGGAAAATAGATACAAGCGGGGCGGAAAAGAGAAAAAGACCCAAAATTAATCAATTAAAGCTCAAAAAGCCAAGAGCATCTTGGCCTGGAATGTTTCAATATTTTACAGATAAACGAAGGTACCTCAGCATTGAAAGGAAAGGAGCGACACAACAGCAATTCACCGGAGAGTTCCGCTTTATTAGGGAAAGGTGCTGGGTTATATAGGATGGGGCATAGGGTGATTGTGGTGTTACTTCTACGGGGCTGGTGGCTGTTGGCTAGGTGCTGGGATTGGGAGGGGGGCGAGAGGTGATTGGGCTTCAGGTGGCGCCGGCGGGAACCGAGGACCCCGAAAAGAAGCCGGAAGTTCGCCATCTTACTGGTGGGGACCCTTCA